TAACACTTATGCCCAGAGCAAGTTGTGCGTGTTTCAAAAACCATCAGTTCACTAACACTAGTGTTATGTATTTGTAGATCATGTGTGAAACTCTGTTTTCGGCTTACTTCTGTATTCTCTTGAAAAGAGATGCCTGATTTACAGGTTTCATTTTCCCCTGAAGTAGCACACTTCTGAATTTTCTGCAGAATAGTTAGAGGATTCACAAGAGTCTGAGTAAACAATCTGAGTTAAAGAAAAACTGCATAGAACTCAAGTATTGTAAATAGGGTAATTCAAGGAAGAAAGTTTTCTGAGACAGCTTTATTTTGGGGTGTGAATTTTAAATTCAGATTGAAAGTGTGTCCAAATCTCCTTTTGTTTTTCCTCCACATTTTTTTACTTGGGTTCTAAACAACCAGTTCCCTATGCAGGTGTGTGAGCTGCTTTCATGAATTTTAGTCATCAGTGAGATTGAGAAGAGTGAGAGAGGTTTTCTGTTCTCTGTGGCTGGAGTTGATCAGCACTGTATAAATGCTGGTGCTGCATTGGGCAGCAACAACACAAACAAGCCTGTTTAGCTGTTGTAGCTTCATTCTTTGTCAGCTCACCTACAGGAGGAGATGGCTGTGCACATGACTGGGCTTATACACAAGCTCCAAGCCAGAATTCATACTGAAGGATCCTTTGTGTGGAAGAAACATATGTGTAATCAGGTGTGTGCTTCTCTCTTTAGCTTTTTATATGCAATTGTGTGTGTAAATACAATATTTTTATCCATGTTTAACTCCTGATTCAGGCAGTCTCTGCCCAGTGGGCTCTGTGCGGGAACCTGATTGCCTCAATTTGAGTGGTGACTTCTTCAACAGTTGGCTAGAGTTTTGTGTGATGATTTGACTATACAAAATCTGCAACTCCACACATTCAGACCAGAGGTATTGTTGGCATCCTGTCATACTCGTGAGTCAGACAAAAATGTATTTGAGAAACTATTGGTAAATATTATAGGGAACATCTACATGTGTCCAGGAACTTGTAGGCATTGAGTTTGTAATGGGTTTGCAAATGTTCTTGCAACCAGTGAGTAAAACAAAATATTTTTCTAGATAAACACATACTAACATACATGCATAAGTGTTTCTTATCTGTCCATTGTAAATATATGTTTTAGTTGAGCATCCAAAAACATGCATATATTCAATGAGCAACACCATCTAACTCTCACACATTATTGGAATCAGTATTATTGGAAAGCATTGTAGTACTAATAAAAGTGTTGTTTAAAAGAGAAATATAATCTGAGTTCTGTATTTTCTGGCTGCCTCTTTCTCTGTGGGTTATCTGATCTCATAAGGGAGCTGAAGTTCTTGCTGAACGCTTCCATCCTGTATTTCTGGCTGCCTCACACATTGCCACTGATGGTGCTGAAATTCCCTTTCCCTTTCCTGTCAACATCTGGGACATAAAAGGAGATACTCCCAGCATAGACACCACTACTACTTAAGCCCAACAATTATGCTCTGGTCTACTGCTTGGAAACTGAAACAAACAAAGAAATAAACCAGCTTTAGGGACAGAAGGGGAAGGTTTCCTCAGTTTATTCTTTTAACAGCACTAGAGTAAAAAGGAACACAGCTCTACCAAATGGGTTTAGAAAGCCAGAGGCTATACAGAGCATAGCAGGAGATGGCAAAATTGAGAATCAATCATTTTTTGTATCGCATTTAGCATTGAATTTCATACATTTATAATCATCCTCTCTTCAGTACCAGCATCTTGCCCAGTATTGACATTCTGGCAGGTATTATAAATTAAGCATGATAACTCTACTATTCAATGTCTACAGAAAATACAAAATTGTTAAAAATGGACATATAATTTATGTGGGTTTTTTTCTTTACTGAGTTCATGGGGTTTCATTTTTTCTTATTTTCATTGTCACTTTATATATTCAACAAATTTGCGTTACAGAACACACGACTTTATTTACTTCTAGGAAATTACATTAAAAATTTTACTCAGCATAAGCTAGTGAAAATGATGGGGAACAGAAGAGTGTTGTATATTATTTGTTCACTTCAGATCAAGTAGCATTTAATATGTGCTTGTGTTTGCATAATAAATTCTACCATCTCAAGAAAATAAAGGGGATTATTTTCCTTAAAATTTTTAGACTATTGCTAACTGTACAAACCGACCCAATTCAAATATTTTTCAAATGTTTTTCCCAGCAGATAAAATTTTTAGATACAATCCATTAATAAAAAACTTCACTGTGAAATTTTTCAGAATATGTACTGAGTGATACCCCCAGTTCATTTAAAATTTACACGTATGTGCTTATTTGACTCTATTTTTTTGTGAGTATGTTTATTGTAAAATACACTTGCATGTTGCTTCAGGTAAAAGGATTATATAAAACATGTATGTGTGTAGACCTACTGCCCCCACCAGACTCTTATATGTTGAAACAAGATGGAACACCTTCAGGTATAGTATTGGTGAGGGTGAAGATATTAATCCCAAGATTTAAGTTTATAGAATATTTACTAGAGATGCCTTTCAAAAGATGAATAATTTGACACTGTTGACTTGTGCTCTTTCTAAACTGGTGTTTACATTTCTGTGCTGAAGTGTGCTGTAGATTTGCATTCCCTGGTACTCAAGGATGTCAGTAAAAGTCATGAAAGGTAAATGTCTGTAAATTACTTTCAGAGTCATGCCTAACATATGTTTTATCTCTCCTTCAGCTGATTGTTTTATTTTGCTTTTCTTCTCAGTTAAGGTGAAGTATCTACTCTTAGGAATATTTCAGTCAAAGGCATAACCTTTACTCATCTCTATTTTTCCCCTTCTTTCAGACAGGCAACTGCAAGGCATAATTGTTAGAGAAGTAGAAATTTCAAATCCTCACATGGTTCATTAAATAGCTAACATTCTGTTCTTATGTATGAAGAACAATATTTTAAAAATAATTTAATTGTCTAAGCCAGATAAAATTTATTCAGCATAACAGCTGTATAATACAATTTTACAGACATGGCAAGATATAACACTGCTATTGAAAGAAAATGAAACCTTTTGTTATAGATATATATATTTTTTTAAAAACAGGAATATAAGGCTTCCCATTAAATTCTGCTTATCTTGAAATGCAGAAGCTTAGCATAGGGGCTAAGACACAGATAACTAGGCCTGCTACAAAGTTAATCTTCACTCCATTCAGTGGACTTTGCCATCCATTTTTGACCTTTTATCTCTCACTCAAGATGTACATTTGATGTTTAATGATACTCTTTATTGTCAACAGCTGCTAAAGAAGTAGAAAATGAGTATTAAAGCCTTCTTGAACAAAAATAAATTGAATATTGAACAGAATTCTGTAATAATATTATGTCCATCCTGTGCAACACAACTTGAAAGCAAACATGGATTCCAATGAGCTATGTACTCTTAAATTTTAATGTGTATTTTTTGTGTCAAACTATCTAAAGGGTGTAAATATGTACTATCTGTCTTTCCACACCTAACCCATACTGCTCAGTACTCAGGAGCTCTTAGTGCACATCAGCAGTGACAAGAGTTATTGACTGAATATTCATGGGATTCCTTTCATTTTAATAGACTTTCTCATTCTGTGTCATTGTAATCTTTTCCCTTTCATAAGACTTTTTACAATGCAGAATCCCTCGACATATGTTATTCCTTCTTGATTTTCAAACATATGTTGGGAAAAGTTGTAAGGCTCATAAAACAATAGTTGTTCCTGTCCTGAGCAATTGCCAGATTGCAGATTTCCTATGAATAAAATATTACATTTTTAAGTACTGAAAAAACACAAAACCAACCTCACTATAGAAGAATCCCACAACAGACAGATAGCAAGTATGCAGCTCACTCAGATGTGGCTATTACAGAGCAGTCACCTAAATTTATCATGCTTTTACTGCTGCTTTCTGATTTAATCCAATTGTTATTCCAGAACAAGTGGAAGCACTAGAACTCTGTGCACCTGAGAGGGGCTGCCAGCAACCTTAAATATCAGTAAAAAAAGCTGAAACACTGACCTCTATATTCCCCGGTGCTTCAGAATGTAATTAGGGGTGAAATCTTGCACACAGGACTCCGTTGCAAAACTGTTGCTCACCTCAAGGGTGTTGCATTTGGTTCAAGGCTACGATTTGTGCCTTCCCTTCTTTGTAAATATTAATTTTATAGTAGAACTGAATATGTATAGTTTCCTTTTAATTTTCTTCATAATTACTCAGAAACTCTGCCATCCTTACCCTGCCTTGACATGTCTTTCCTCAGACACTCTATACTCCTGTTCATCGGAACACTGAGATGGGTGCTGTGAATTCCTGTCAGTGCCATGGGACACCACAGATAGCAGAGTTGACATTGGCACACTCTTTTAAAGCAGTTTTCTATTTATAAACTGCACATCAGTGGCTACTAAGCTCACTCAAAACCCCTGTGAGCTCCAGGCAGAGACCTTTTCTTTGTACAAAAAGCCCTGTGTTCTGCTCAGAAAACTGATGGTGTCAAAAGCAAATGCAGAAATCATCCTGCATCTTCCACCTGACATCAGTATTTCTCACAGCTAAATTCAGTTTTAGTTCCAAAAGATTACATTTTGCTATTGTCTCTCTTTGTTCGGTACAAGCACACAGCAATTATCTGGCTTCCTATCTCTGTCTGTTTTACTAAAAGAGACAAGGATTTCTTCTTTTTTCCATCAGAATGGAAATGTAAATATTACTATTGAAAGCAACAAATAAAAACTTTGAGGATGAAAAATGAGTTTTATCCACTAACATTTCAGTGATTCCAAATATAGGATTGTGACCTTTCCAAATTACAGGTTTTACATTATAATGCAAGACATTTTCAAATAGAAAATAATTTTAGTACTGTTAGTTCTAAAATAAATGTGTTTCTTCATACAATCAAAGCAAAGAGTGGGTGTATTTTGCCCCTGCTGTATACATCAGATAAAAAAAAAGTGTGAGGATACATACCAAAAGCTGGAGATATCCTTAAGCTTCATGAAACCTGTACATTTGTAGTGTTTCACACATATGTAGTGTCTTAGAACAGGCCTGCTTCTGTACAGTTGCAGTGACTGCATTTACAGGGGCTTATTTTTATTCATAGCTAGATAAAATAATAAATATATATACATTCCCTGAATCAAAGTGAATTAAAAGGAAATGCATGCAAGGGAGAAGGTAGCTCAGATTTCTCATCAGCAGTCCAATCATGAGTGACCCACAGGCAACTTGAGAGCTGCCCACACAATTACTCATGGAGTCTGCTTACAAAAAGGCATCGCTGCCAGGAAAGTCTTTGTTACCTTGAATCCAAGTTTAGTGATGACCACCTATAATAGGAATTGGAGGGAGGAATGCAAAATGCATAGCACTGCATTGAACTGACACTATATATCACTTCTGGGCAGGCTGTACATTTTTATGTGATGCATTTTACAGACATAGAGAAATTTATGCAACTAAGTATGACCAACAGGGTAATTCCCAGTCTGGTTTCTCTTTTCAGTTGTGCCAGTCTCACTGAAGTTTAGAGAGCTGCCTCAGTATGAGAGACAAAACTTTTTGAATGTGCTGGATGAGAGAGTGGTACTTTCTCTCTCGTACCATGCTAGAGGCACACTAAACACTGTGAACTTCCAAGTAATGAAAAGCTGTGAGATCAAAGCACAACTGCTTCTGTAGCCACCATGGCTAAAACCTGATCACGGTTTAAGTGACTTCAAAAGCATTAGGTGAGGGATGACTTCAGCATTTGAACTTAACCTAGAGTGATACTTCAGCAACATATAAAGGAGGTTTTTTGCTGACTATCCTTCTGCTAGGGAGAGATGTAATCAGTGTTCAACCGTTAGAAGGGAAGTATTTATTAGTATTTTTTCACTGGAATAAGTCCATTTTGGGATGTGTGTAAGGTAGGATTCAAGTAATTTCCAAAATCATACAAAGTTCTTTCAACGATTTCAACAAAAGAAGTTTGTGTGTGAAGAAAACTTGAGTGTCTTATTGTTTAGTAGTTGGTTTTAATGAAGTAAATACAAAATAAGAACATGAACAGCATAAAAAAGGATTAAAAATAATACAGAATAAATAAAATCTTTTTAGCCTAAAAAATGTCTCTGTACCTGAAGTAAACTTCTACTTCTAGTTATTTCCCTGAGAAAAATATCACATTAGCTAACTCTGCCAGCAGTGTTTTATGATGAAATGAAATTATTCTTTCCATTTATTTGTCAGCTGATCTGAAATAATTGATTCACTTATTCATTTGCCCATATGCAGAGTGCTGTTTTTGAATAGACTATCTTAATGTGTTTTAATAGAATATTGTTATACATCCACATGTGATATTCAGCATGAACATTGACTAATGTTACTTTACAATATATTACATATTAAAAACACAACATTCCAGGCTGGTAGGAAAATCCAGAAGAAAGGAATCAGTCTGATTAAATGACTGAGCTGGAAGACGGCCTCTTCTCACTACATCATTTTTTCCAACTTTTTTGCTATCTAATTATTTCCTTCAAGTGACAGACAAATATTTTTCTGTTATTTATTCCACCACCAAACAGCTTTAAAAAAACCAGTAGTTCATATATGCCAAATCAGTACCTAAAGTATCTTTTTTAAATTAAATTTAAAAATGCGGGATGCTTATGTTTTGCTGTTTATTATACTAATTGAGTTTTATGCAATATTAAGAGTTTTCTACTTATTAGTTTAATTATTACTGAACGTACTTGGGATTGTCTCACTATAAAATCTGTGAAGTCACCTTTTTTACTATCTGCCATAATACTGAAAGATGTTAAAGTTATGCACTTGAAGAAGGACATTACAACATCAGTGCTTTTTAATAGTTAACAATTTTATAAAAGCCGAGATTCTTAGCTGGATGGATTTGCAAACTCTGAGAATTTCCACTAAAATTAACTTTTACCTTTCAATTGACAAATCTCTCTTATTTCCCAGCAGTCTTGGAAAACCAGAGAGGTTCCAGCTGACTGAAGGCTGGCAAATATTGTCTTGATTGGCAAGAAGGGCAAGAAGGAGGATCCTGGAAACTACAGGCATGTCAGTCTCTCACTTCAGTGCCTGGCAAAGTTATGGAGATTATCCTGAAAGATGTTGAAAAGTACCTGAAAGACAACAGTGTCATTGGTTCATGAGAGAAAAGTCCTGCTTATCAAAACTAATTTCCTTTTATGACAATGAAATTTGCCTGATTGATTAAGGGAAGACAGTTGATGTGATAATTTTGGATTTCAGTAACGTTTTTGATGAAGTCTCTCACAGGATCATGCTGGACAAACTGTCCAGCTCACAGCTGGACAAACACATCTGGATAAACACATCATGCAATGGGTGAGCAACTGGCTCACGGGTTGGGCACAAAGGGGGTGAATCGGAGTCGTGACCTGTCACTAGTGGGGTCCCACAGGGCTCCATCCTTGCGCCTGTGCTTTTCAACATCTTCATAAATGACTTGGACACAGGACTGGAAGGGATACTAAGCAAGCTCCCAGATGATACAAAACTGGGAAGAGCTGTTGACTCCCTTGAGGACAGGGAGGCCCTGCAGAGAGACCTGGAAAAATCAGGGGCTGGGCAATCATCCCCCATATGAAGTCCAACAAGGGCAAGTGCCGGATTCTGCACCTGGAATGGGGCAACCCTGGAGGTACAGACAGACTGGGGAATGAGAGGCTGGAGAGCAGTGCCATGGAAAGGGACCTGGGGGTCTTGGTCCATGGCAAGTTGAACATGAGCCAGCAGTGCCCTGGCAGCCAGGAGGGCCAACCCTGCCCTGGGGGCATCAGGCACAGCATGGCCAGGGAGAAAGGGAGGGGATTGTCCTGCTCTGCTCTGAGCTGGGGCAGCCTCAGCTCGAACACAACTTCTTTGTGAGGGAAAAAGGAGGAGGAGACACTGATTTCTTCTCTGTTGTGCCGAGGGACAGGACCTGGGAGAATGGCCTGAAGTTGTGGTAGTGGAGGTTTAGGTTGGATATCAGGAAAAGGTTCTTCAGCCAGAGGGTTGTTGGGCACTTGAACAGCTCCCCAGGGAAGTGGTCACAGCACCAGCCTGACAGAGCTCAAGAAGCATTTGGACAATGCTTTCAGGCACATGATGTGACTCTTGGGGATGGTGCTGTGCAGGACCAGGAGCTGGAATGGATGATCCTTGAGGGTCCCTTCCAATCCTCCTGTGATTCTGTGATCTTTTGATCCCCAAACATGTGATCCCCAGAATGAAATTGGCTAAGAGTAAGCTTCCTTTAGGGATGCACTTCTGCAAAAGCAAATATATAAGTCCCTGCATATTAGAGTATTATATGTGGAGGAAAGAAAAGGGATTGTTATGTGGACATTCTTCTCTGTTCAAGTGAAAGCATTTGTTGGGCTGAGATAGTAAAGTTATCCCAAATTGGTGAGACAAAGAAAAGTCTTCATTCAAACTAATATCAAACTCCTATAGACTCAGACTCACTATTGTGTTTAAGAAAGGGAATTCGGGAAACTCACAATATGGTCCAAGAAAAATGTGTAGGCTTGGGCAATTTCTTTGAGAACTGTAGGTAATGATATGAGAGATACTGTAATAAGTGAAATGAAAAGGAGACATAAAAATGATGATCTACTGTCTAATTTAGATGTATGGAGACTTCGCAGCTTATTTTTCAAGACTGACTCATTTACCCATTCTGAACACATAGAACAGGTTTCAATAAAAAGTAAATTTAGCCATTTGCTTTTGAACTCTGGTCTCCTTTGCCCTTCATTGCAAAGAGCCTCTTCCAGCTTTCTTAGGCGAATTACTGCTAAATCCAAAAGGTTTTCCATAATATTGAAAGAGGGGTGGTCATTTTTCAAGCCCAAGTTTGTCGTTATTGCTCTGAGTGTGAAATTTTTCAGAATCTTACACACAGCATGAATTATAATTTCAGAAAATCATGAAATAAAGAAAATCCTCAGTGTTACTGAGAAAACCTCTGGGATCTCAGATGTCAGTTTGAGGAGAGAGATTGCTCTACCTATAAATTCATCTCTTCCAGAACTGACATCCAAGGTCCCAGAGCCTCTTCCATATTGCTAAAGAATTTTTTCATGCAATTCCAGCAATGCAATGCATTCAATTCTTCACAAGAAATATTCAGCTATTTATATTGCAGACAGTCACATATCTTGCTGACTGTCTAATATTATTAGAGCTATTGGGAGCAGAGGTACCAAAATACCATATTGTTATAACTTCTCAATAATATTTCATAAATTAAAATCCACTATATCTTTTGAAAGAAAAATGTCATCTGGGAAAAGCAAACAAAATAATCCTAACAACATCAAAACCAAAAGTCAATGAGGTATAATCTGTTAAAAATGCTGGATGTTCACATTTTAATATTGTGTGTGTGTATGTGTGTGTGTGTCTTTTGTGAGCATAAGGTAGAAGAAGTGCAAATTATTATCTGTTCTGGGCTATCAGTCTCACTTTGGTGTTACAGCAACTTCCTCTGTACTATGATTTCGGGGAAGGGAGAAGAAAAAAAGAAGAAAAAAATGAAGAAAAAAATAAAAAAAGAATATAAAAAATAAAAAATAAGAAAACAAATTTTAAAAATTCATAAAGAAAAAAGAAAAGAAGAAAAAGAAAAACAAGGGTGCAGAAGAAAAAAAAAGAAAAAAAAAAAGAAAGAAAAGAAGAAACAATAAGGAACGAAATTGGAGGGTAGGAAGGAGGAAAAAGGCTTCATTTGCTTCATTTTCAGATGGTCCTCTGAAAAGCTGTACAAATGGCCCTAAGGACATGAATCTGTGCAGCACAGCAAATCCCAGCTGAGGTCAGGGAACTTCATGGAGACTAAAACATCTGTTGTTGGGTAGTCAGGTGGTTAATTAGGATTTCAACTGAGAGGAATTCTAAAGGCAGCTGAGATTTTGATAACTATTATTTTTATACATTTCCAGCTGAAGTTTTGGAAGTTTAAGGGATCCGAATAATCATTATCAATATATATTCTAGGATCAGAATTTTTGAAGGATAGCCTTGCCTGACTAAGGTAGTTTTGTTCTGAAATTATGCTTTTTGGGACATTTTTTCTTTTGCCTGCCTTTCAGAATCACATGGCCTTATTTCAGTCATTGTCATGACTGCAGCACAATAGCTGCATCAGCCATCATTTTTGAGCAGATGCATGATTTCTGGCTGAACTGCAA